AAAATATGGCTAGTACAAGTCTAAATACCATTACTTCTTATTCAATTTAATCTAGGACGGCTCAATGAAATGACATGTACAATTAAGAGAAAAAAGAGATTGACTCATATTATGAATTACTTTTAGTAATTCATGTGTTTGCTTGTATTGGACCAACTTCACTATCTAGCATCAAATAGGTGGACGAATAATCAGGTCAAAAAGATTTGTAACATGTTGGGCATTGGCCCGATTCCTAGCTCTTCAATCTCAACAAGCATTGTGTAAATATTCCCACTTCCAGTTCTGCAAGAAAAACAACTAATTAGATACAATTCAGCAGAATACTTGGCATATCATAACATTTCGATTAAAATCAATGTTTTCACCATTATAATCAATTTGTAGGCATTCTCAAATTTGACGCTATTAGTCATCCTTATGTTATGTAATTTTGAGTAGGCATCGATCTAATCCTCATGCTCCTTGTACTTTCTTTTATTACTACTTCCGTTCCTAAAAAATCTTCCCGGTTTGACTTGGCACGCCTATTAAGAAAGTGGAATAAAGTGGAAATGTGTGGTTGTGGTTGTGTGAGAAAAAGGTAAAATGAATGTGAGCCACACAAATTGTCCAAAAAGGGAAAGTGAGAAGAATTTTTTGGAACGGCCCAAAAAGGAAAGTGGGAAGTATTTTTGGGAACGGAGGGAGTAATAAACTGGTAACGTGTTTCCCAACTCTCCTTCCAAAATATCGATCTTGGTTCCTCACTGGGACAAAACATGCAATTCAGTGTGTGAATCAAATTTACATGTATGTTTTAAAAGTTGAGTTTATCTTAAGGATTTCAATGCTAGTTTAGAGGATTAGTGAGCATTTTTTTATGAATAGTGAGCATTTTCTTTAGTGAGAGGAATATATTTATTTATCGGCTCCTCCAAACTTGTGCTATTAGTCCTTATTACCTTTTTTCATTTCAATATCTCTAATTTAATTGAAATTGTCCTAAACAGTATATAAATAATGCGAAATTTCAAAACAGGAGTATTAATTTTTTTTCTAAATAGGAGTATTTATTGTCATACATAGAAAATACTACAAATTTTGGCATTAATAGTCATATTAAATTCTGATGATGGTAAAATTTGATAATGTGTTTTAAAAAGACAATGATTTGCTTCTATTTATGGAACACAACACTCTTATTTTGAAATTTGACATTATTTTTACTCATATTTCGAGAAAATTACCATAACATAACCTTTACAGCAATGGACTTTGTGGATTATGACTCATAGTATTTTGCTTACACCTAGTCTTATAGAAACTAAAAGTCTCACTCAAAACTTAATTCACCTTTTTAATGTTCTGTCATCTACCTCATTCCTATGGGATGTAACTAAAAAAAGAGTGTTTTCCCACATGTAAATGGTATGAAAACAATGCATACGGTGATGAGCATTATTATTACAATATAGAGTTAATGTTACACGAACTCAATCCAACCAACTCCCCCTCCCCTTTTTTCTTATACCTAAGAAATAATCCTAAGACGAAAAGTATAAGATTTTGAACAAGTCTAGTTGGTAAAAAAAACTAAGGAGGTGGGAAAACACACCTTTTTCTTGTGCTATTATGAGTTTACAAGTTTTTCTTGTGAACGCATAGTTCTTTTTATATGATTAGTTGTTTAATCACCAGAGTTAGGCTTTAAATGTTTTGAACAATTTTAATACTTTCAGGCTGTAATTGAAAAACTTAAGATCAGACAATTTATGTTCTGAAGAGTCGGGAAAAAATAAAACATTCTAATCAATCCATGTCAAAAGAATGGATGGAAGGCATAAGAAAAAACTGTTTGTGCTTTACATAGAGAAAACATATCATCAAATATATGAAGAAAAAGTCTCACACTTGATGTTTAATATGTTGCTGCAAATTTCATCAAGGGTCATTTGATATAAACAAAACCAGAAAAAGGTGTAATGGCTCAATTTGAGTTTGCACTTCATCTAATTAAAAGGTTGTCAAGTAGCATTGTAAATTTAAGCAAACTTGGGACGAGAACAGCTAGGGATACACATACGAAGGAAATAGAAAATAGAAACCATAGAAGTAAAAGCAATAGCCGTATTGTTAGTAAGAATAAAGTCAATAACCTACTGTGTTAAGCTGATGAACAATCACGAGATTATTCTCTTAAATCCACACAACACATTTACGAATGATGATGGCAACATGCCAAACGCGTGTACTGTTGGGCTCCCATCATCCATATATTCTGCTACACGGGGACTTCAAGGGACCAATTGGTAGATCAACTGTAAAAAAAAAAGATGGACTGTAAGGTATTTAATTAGGGGATTAAATGGAATAGTAATAACAGCTCACAAGAAGAGATTACCTGCTCAGATGGAACAGTGGGCAAGGATTCGAGCCGGTTGTTGGCGGTAGGGGTTTAGTGGAAGGAGACATTTTCGTATTGATAAACAGAGGGCCATAGGCATATCAGACAAACGGGAGGGATATACGGTCGTGGGTAAAGTGACAGACATCAGACCGGGACAAAATGGAGACGTACAGATTTTAGTAAAGAGTACAAATGACAATTCGCAGGGCACAACTCAAACAAACATGACGATTACACCAACATTTTTATCATCTCTAAAATGTCCTAACCATCATTGACCATTATAAGCTTTTAATATAAAGAACATGAGTATTACTAAATATAATTAATAAATAAAATAAAATAATAAAATGTATTTAAAATTTTAAAAGGACTCACGGAGTGAAAATAATGTAAGAGTCCCGTCTTTGACTCCCATATGCATCCTCTTTATTTAGGTTTTTTCGTTGCTGTTAGGACGTTTTTATATTAATATGGTCATTAATGTAATAGAGGAAGTTAATTAGGTTGACCAATCTTTATGACGAGTCATCAAATCGTCGGACAATGACGGAGTGACAAAGGCGTAACATATATGTACATGTCATTATTAGCATTTATTGACTCACGACTGCAAGATAATAATGGGAGAAGAGTGTTAAGCTGTTTTGTGAAGATAACAATGTAACAGGCGAACTTGCTTCTACTTTTCCACCAGACGAGTCAAAAGTGACGAAACGGACAAGATGCATTCATTTCTTCTCTTTTACATATAGCATTTGTTTGTCCCTATATCAACAATCAAACTAACAATATAGATAGAGTAGAGAAGAAACGATGATCCGATTCAATACCAACAATGATATTCGAAAATACAGAACATGGTATCGAGAAAGGAAGTATCGGCTCTCTCTCTCTCACTAGACTAAATGTATGCGTGAATATCTGAAAAGTCTTATTGCACATTCCCTTAAAGGCAATATTTATATGCCTAGGAAATGTGTGATGTGACCTAAGCATGATTGAGCTTTTTATTGATTGGGCCCAATAGCACACTTTAGACATTTCCTAATAAAGATAGTCTAATAATAGCTAACAAAGATCCCAGTGGGATAAAATACCTAGACAAAATAGCTACACAAATACAAAAATATTCATCAGGATTGGACACCATAAATTTTCCTCAACAACATTAGCACTCAATGTAAACGGACGGGCATTCTCGCTCACTCACACTCTGAAACACACGTATCTTCGAACAACACTCTGAAATACATCTAAACTTATCAGATATATTATATTTCTTTGATCCTTTCGACGCAACTGGTTTGTCATTTCCAAGCTTTCAAATCATATTTTCGTAGTTTAGCTTACGCAAAATAGCTTTAATAGGCATTCATTCAACAATGGGCGGACAACAGGCGGTACAGATGGCTCGCCTTCCTTATGAACCACCGTCATAGAGTGAACAAGTTACCCGAGTTTGGAAGATGGTGTTTCAAGTTGGAGTTTGTCAACTTGTGGTATTCTGCTCTAATTTTATATCAACTTTATATTTATTCTGTTAGACAATTGCTTTAGTTTTTTATCGTGTATGTTGATGTCAGTCTTGTCACGTCAATCTACTCTAATGCGGATAATTGCTTAAGCTCCCGCATGTTCAGTGAAAGTTTTCCTCAATTTTGGGTACATTTTCTATGTTTGATCAGGTCGTGGGAGGACTTCTCGGTTATTATGAGTCTAGCGGGAAAGAAGGTTTGTGTTGTTTGTATGTTGTAACGGTCACAATTTTCTACTATATCATTACATGCGATTTAACTTTAAAAAAATATCATTCACCAGTCTTACATTTAAGAATGATTTTACTTGGAATGAAATTTTATAGTCTAGTCTAATCCGTTAGATGACTGGTCTATGTGTAATTTACAACTCTCGAGCTCTGGTCTGATCTTGTCTGATCTGATCTTCTTGGACTAAAATAAGTCCAAATAAAAACATCTTTATACTTCTAGAGAGCTTTAACATTTAAGTGTGTCTACGTGACAAATAGATTTGTAAGTTGGAAAAAATTAGGTGTGCACATTTTTGTACACTTTTTGTGTACATCCCCGATTTTGCTTATATACATACGCAAAAGTTGTCTTAAACTCGTAGTGCTTATACGAGTGTACGAATAGTGTGCCGTTTTTTATGTACATCAACATTGCTCTTGAAAACAAAACATTGCTCTTGAAACTTTACGTTCAATCAACAACTACCGTATACGAAAAAAGGTTTGAAAAGACAGAAAGTCTGCTATCATATACTAGTACAAAGTACTACGTAAGTCGGTACGTAGTACGAAGTATTCCCCAAAATTGAAAAAAATGTAAATCGTCTGCATATTCTTGAGTTTGTTAAACGAACTTAATTAAATGCTACGGAGTACTACGTACGTATTAAATATTACCTCCGTCTCAAATTGAGTTGCAAATTTGACTTTTATTGGTCAAACGGTTTGGTTTTGTTTGCTTGATTAGGATGCCAATTTTTATTTATATTTTAATTTAGAGTTTACAACTTTGAAGAGATTTTAATGTAGTTTATGAATATATAAATTTTAATTATTAAAAATTGAATTAATTATCAATAAGGAGGATTGACTTTTATTATTGATTGACCAAAAAATATGCAAAACAAATTTGGACGGAGATAGTACAATAATGTGGTGCAGATTCTCATTTGATTGGTGTATGCTGATTTTTGTATATATTGAATCTCGTAGCAACATTTACATTGTAGACACAATTTGTATTGGCCGATCAGTGTGCAGAAAAAGAACTCTGTAACCCTGAACCACAAATCACAACCCGAAAACATGAGAAAGTAAATTGGTCGAGAAAAAGGCAGAGTCTGGGAAGATCTTCAACAATCATTATACTCTTGATAATCAATTTCATCAAGGAACGGCTTCGATAACCTTTTCCCATCTTGGATTATGCGGTGGCAGTCTGTGAAGAAAAAGCAGCCAACTATGGTGTCCAGAACAAGAAGAACAGCATAGAGATATGCAATAAACATCCCCTCCAAGGCTACATACAAAACCCCACTTCCTTCATCATCATCATAAGCCCTTAAGACAACTCTGTATTGGAACAGAACCTCAACTGCAGCCAGTGCAGCATTGACCTGCACTGCTAAAGACAGTGCTGTTGGGACGATGCAGCTTCTTCTTCCCTTCACCATCACACTGCACGCCTTCAGAGCTGCAATCATGCCTCCATTCTTCTCCATCCCTGATATGATCAATGCCAGGTTGCAGATGATGAAGCTGTTGGCAAGAACTATGGAGAATCCCACTGCTCCAGTTGCAGAAAGAACTATGTCTCTTCCCAATGAGGAAGAAAATCCCAATCCGTTCGCCAAATTGACGGCAATGAACATCAAAGAAAAACAAGTCGCGTTTGCAGCGAGGGTCAAAAAAGAATTGCAGATATGGGTATGGATTAACGGGCGGTAAATTTCGAAAACCCCGGAAAAAGACGGGTTCTTGGGGCGTTCTTGATCTCGGAGAGCATAAATTACTGAGGCTTTGCTGAAGAGATAGGAGGAAATGGTGAAAGGGACTGCAAGAAGAGAAATGGAAATGGTCTGGGAGATCTTTGCTTCGAGGATTGAGGAAGGGGGGAAGCCGGCTGCATGGAAAAGAGAGTGAATTCGGGCGTGGATTAGCCGTAGGAAGGAGGAGGAGGAGGAGGCGGCGGGGATAAGGAAGGATGAGCGGAGAAGGAGAAGTGAGGCTGCAAATGGAAAAGCTAGGAATGCTGCTGTAGTGGTGAAGTACTGGTAGTTCTGCAGAAATGTGAAGATTGATCTTCTGAGAATCTTTGATGCTCTTATTGCCATGGAGAGATCAGAGAGAGATTATATTGCAGAAGAGTTCAGATAGATGATAAAGATGGATGGGTGATATCATGAATCAATCAATCAATCCTCTGTAGTTTAAGGTTGTTGTTGGATGGATGCGAGGTTTGTAGAGTTTTAGTTCGAGAAGGAATTTGGGTTCGGTTAAGAAATGCGCAAAACGGGTAGAGAAGATGGAGGAAGAGAAAGAGGTGGGAAGTGTTGTGTGTATGTGAAACTTCTTTTACAGGTGAGATTTTTTGGACTCTCTTTGTGTTTACGTCTTTTTACGTCTATCCATTTATTTATATATTTATTTATTATCACCAAACAAACCCTCTCATTAATTAGTTGCCGAAATTCCTTGCTTGTCTTGGTTCAAACCCCATGATGATATTGTGAACCAGGTACAAATTACTTAACTTTAAGGCTTTACTTTTTTCCGTAGTGCTGGTAAATGATAGTAGTATTTTCTTAATTCATAATTCATTATTTATTTGAAATAAACACACACAGATATATGGTGTGTAGATAAAAAAAAATCATTTCTCCCATGAAAATTGCAAATCGTTCACTTTTTCTCGGGTGTGTTGCACTATTACGTTTCTCTGTTGCACTTTTCATATCGACGGAAAAACTTTGACTTATTTACGAAAATTCCACCACATTTTTTTTATTTGACACGATTCGATCAATGTTCAAAAAGTGCAACAAATCACATTAGAGAGCATCACATTGGACAAAAGTGAGCGGTTTACCGTTTTCACATTAAGAGTGATTTTTATTTGATCCAAGACCTATATAAGTGCCGCCGCCGCCCCAAAACAGTGACAACTGTCATCCTCCGTCAAATAACAGCCGTAGCCGCCCGACCAGTTACCTCCCCCGACCATTAGTACCATTAGCAACACATACTTTATGTGGACCAGAGTAATTAAGGAGTTTTATGAGAGAGAATACCTTCATTCGGAGTCATATGAGCAGAAGCCCCCGAGTCAGGATACCCGACATAATCATGATGCTCACCAGTGGGTAAAGCAACCAATGCGGGAGTGCTAGGAACAATGAAATGGGAGCATGACAGAGCGGAATGACTTGGAGAAAAACAAAGCTAACAAACCACCGGAGGAGGTGACCGGGAAAAGTGATCCACAGATGGGAAACATGCATTAATATTATGAGTAACAAGCAGAATAGTAATCTATATGGCAATTACCGGAACAAATATTACTAAATATCGAACCTGAATTTCCCATATGTGGACCCCATGGCGGAGCTGGTGACTGTCCATAAGTAGGAGCATAGTCCTACGGTCCTCCGTAGTCACCAGGAGGATGCCCGTAGATGGCGTCAGGTACAATAGGCTGGTGGTACTGCCCACCACACCCTCGAACGCGGCTGTCGCGAGGCCTACTGCCCCGATATCCCCTGCAGCACCTCACGCCAGACTGTCCGTGTGAGCTAGATGAGGCAACGACAAAAGCTTGATGTGTCGGTGTAGAGTCCTGTGACCGGAAAAACAATACTCGTTGTTCTTGAGCCATAAGGATCGATCGAAGAGTTTCTATGGTAGCATTACCCAGAAAATAAGAAATAGTCGTAGCCAATGACTCATATTCAAACCCCAAACCCAATATAGCATACTCGATCAACTCATGATTTTTAACGAGAAAATTATTAGCGGCCAACGCATCAGCCATGACCTTAATTTCCCTTAAGGTCATAGACTTCAACTAAAATATCCTAGAAAGAGTAGCAAACAATCAAGATCTGATAGTCTGATCAATTTTCAATCAATGATGATATTCAAGGTTAGGGGTAACACGACCAGACAGATCACCAAGGGTGGGGGAAGGGACTGTTATTGAACCATCCAAAACACAAAAAAGCCTATGGGACACAAAAATGACTCAAATTGAGTTCTGCAAATAATCCTCAACAACATGAAGCCGAGTGGTGACAATATTAGTCACATTCGGAGTTGAAAAAGTTAAATGTGATGCTAAAGAGGATAAATATGTAGAGGGTGCCAACAAAAAATTGGAAGTCATGGCATGGACATTTGTTGCATGGGGGAGACACCCAGCTGTCCAGACAGTGTCGGGCCAGAGAAGTCCGGCATGGCAGAATCAATTCGCGGCATGACTGCAGAATGTGAAGACGAGGAGGCTGCTCTGAAATCGGGCACGACAGTAGGGTTCCAGGTGAAGGGTTCTGACATTCCAAACAGCCTGTAAGAGTCAAGCGGGGAGCACTGGGGGAATGACCAGTGAGCGAGGGAACCCAAGATCATAGGCGAAGGCTGCTCCGCAATAGTAGAGACGGGCACCATGTACGACGTTGTGAGGGACGATAGCGGAGAGTCGAACATCGGTTGGGACGACGACGGTGCGGTGGAGACATTGCCGGTGGAAGGCTGCACCGTGGTAGTGGGCGTCGTGGAGGCTGCGGTTGTAGAGGCGCTGTCCGTAGGGATGAAAAGAAAGAGAAACTCTAAGCGACTGATATCATATACGGAAATATAATTTTGGAGAATAATGGCTTGCCCTATTGGGTGCCTAGCTTGATCATGTATTTATAATAAAATAGAGTTTAGGAAATTACTGAATAAACCCACACTAATACGTTATTACCTTTCACTTTATAAGTGAGGTAGCATGTCATTCATTTTTTTGGCCGGACTTTTGTCTTGTATTATATGTGTACAATGTTAAATGTCAACATACTTAATAAAGATGAATTTTGAACTTGTAAACTCCTCTTTGGGAGTGTCACATTAATGTTATCAAACTCCAAGATAATCGGCAACATGTCACTCACCTTAATATATAACCAGTTCTGATTCTATTTGGAAGAATCGGATAGGTGATAAAATTAAAGACCTTGTAAAGCTTAAATTTTATAATAAAATAGAAATTATATAGTCAAGAATATAACCACAACTTAGGATGAGTAATGTTTTCTATCATTACTACAAAAAAATGTGTTTAAAATAAAAAAATCACACTCTCGTCCATGCAATATTAATTAGTTAGAAACTTTATACGTTATGTAACATATAGAAGTATACAAATATTACTGAAATACATAATAAAACTTATTCAAAAGAATATGACTAATAGTTACTACTTTGTATAACATATATACTATCATGTCATTTAAATGTAAAAGTTGAATATGAGCTATTATGACTAAATTATTATTATAGTACTTCACATAAGATGTCACATTTTTGTTAATTGCGTTTATTTTAGTTATAAATATGCAGTAATTTCATAAAAAATCAAATTTGATCTTGTTGAGAGACAAAATGATTTACGGAGTATTACAATTTTATGCTTTTCTTTTGTCAATTTACCAAGCTCAAATAGCAATTTTTTATATAAACAATAAAATTTTACAGAGTACATATTTTATACCAATTAGTCAAATACATGTGTTATACTCTTTTTGTCTCTTAAAACTTTGTCATATTTCCTTTTTTAGTTATCCCTAAGACTTTATCACTTTCCATTTTAGTCAATTAATAATTTGTGGTTCAGAGCATCTCCATCTCCTCTACACAAACTTTATCCAAACAGTTATTACTTTATTATTCCCCGAATCGACCAAACCTGACAAAGTTTTGAGGGACGGAGAGAGTAGTGATTATAGCAGATATAAAATACTCCGTAATAAAGAGCTAGAGAGCGAGTTATAAATTAGTCATTTTTTATGATGGACCATTAACCATTTAGAATGATAATTAGTGGAATTAATACTTGATATAGAATTTCCATATGATTCTGCGACTCGAAGTATCATTCTAACAAGTTTATCAATTCAATCTTCCCACTAAATGAAGGCCTTTTGCACATCAAAAACAAAAAAAAATGAGCCAAGTACAAAGTACTCAAATCGAGGTGCCCTCAGCAACCATCGTCGCCTTCATCTTGAATCAGCCTCCTCATCCCTTCCTGGATTGCAACTGTTTCCCTCATGCCATCACCCTCATCACAAGCAGGTCCCCACCGTCGTACCCTCATCTCAGGCTGGCCCCAGTGACACCTTCATCATCTTCAGGACAACCATCATGATGTTGCCTTCATCACTCCAGACATGCTTAGTGTTGTGCTCTCATCTTAGGCTGACCTTCGTGTCATGGCCCTCATCTTGCGACCGGTCTCCCCATCTCCTCTTAGATGGAGACCGCCGCCCTCCTGCATTTGAGGCAGGATCAACGCTTTCACCCTCATCTTTGACTATCCCTCACACTATTGCCTTCATCTTCGACGTGATCTCGTGCCTCCACCCTCATTTCAAAGGGCTCAACGTTATGTCTGCATCTCATTCCGACCTTCATGTTGTCGCCTCCACCGTCTCAACTCGAACCCTCAGCGCCCCCCTCATCTTCAGTGGCGCCCCATGACGTTGTCCTCATACATTGTGATCAACTCAGCGTTATTGCCCTCATCTTCGTCAGGCCCTGATGCATTGTGACAGGTTCAATGTTGTTGCCTTCATATGCAAGTTGGCCTTCTTGCTAACGTTTTCATCATTGGGGCCCCATCCCTTCCTAGATGGTGACTGTCACCCTCATGTTTTGCTAGTTTGCCCAACCCCATACCATAGCCCTCAATTGCGATCGGCTCAACATCGTCGCCCTCAATTTCACCCAACTCTCATGTCACCGCCCTCATATTCGACCAGGCATCATGTCCTCACCTCCATCTTCAGGCTGGCCCCATGGCGTAGCCCTCATTTGCAACTGGATCAATGTCATCACCCTCATCTTCGATCATCCCTCACACTATCGCCGCCCTCATGCATTGCTACTAGCTTCGTGTCGTCGCCCTCATCTTATACTAACCCTCATGTTCGACCGGCCCTCATGCCCTCATATTCATCTTCAGGTCTACCCTCATACGAACACCCTCATGCATTGCGACCAGCTGATCGTCGTCGCCCTTGTCTTCGGTTGGCCCTCATGTCGATGTCCTCGTCTTTAGGCCGACTCATGCATCACGACCAGCTCAACATCATTGCTCTCATCTTACGAACGACTACAAAACCCTGTCATCATGACCTCTCCATCAAGCTCCCCCTTTGCTTCATTTTGGGGGCATTCGATGTACTCTTTTTACCCTCACTGGGATTTCCCCCCACTGAGTTCTTTCCTAGTGAGGTTTTCAACGAGACATCTTCCCATTGTGGACTAAAGGTAATTTCCCTTGGCAACATCTACATCATCACATCATGACACCCAAAAACTACAAGACTCGGCACAATGACGACAACTCCTTTAGCACGAAGCACCTTCGGCTAGCAAGAGTGGGGGACTACCCCTCGGCCTCTTCCTCAATAAATCAGAAAATTAGAAAAAAATGCAAATATAAAAATTTTTAGCCTCGATTACCTCTCGACAAAGGGAGTGGGGGGGGGGGGGGGGACTTCTGATGGAATATATGGTCTCAGACCCTGTGGCCCCACGTACTCCTCCAACCAAGAAGCATGACCTTGACATGATCCCTCGGCACTCGACACTTAAGAAAATCCCTCCATAGTTTCACTTTGCATCGTTTATTACGTCTTTTAATGTAAT